CACACAGTGGGTGACACACACACAGTGGGTGACACACACACACACAGTGGGTGACACGCACACACACAGTGGTTGACACACACACACACACAGTGGGTGACACACACACAGTGGGTGACACACACACACAGGGTGACACACACACACACACACACAGGGTGACACACACACACAGTGGGTGACACACACACACACACACAGTGGGTGACACACACACACACAGTGGGTGACACACACACACACAGTGGGTGAGACACACACACACAGTGGGTGACACACACACAGTGGGTGACACACACACACACACAGGGTGACAAACACACAACAACAACAACAACCGCCATTCGCCACTAAGTGGCGGTGACGTCACCACGACGCTTGTGCCAGGCTATGTGCACCCTGAGGCCACGTGAAGTGTCGAACGCCCGCTGGCAGGAGGTCACGGGGCAGACCCAGGTGCCACGGGTCGACTGACTGAGATGACTGGCTGATGCACCACCTGTGCCCCCTACTGTGCCAACCTGCTGTGCTTTAGCCACCCGGCGCTCCGCTCGCTGTTGTGAGCGTCGCTCCTCCGCCCTCCGTTGTTGTTGGAGGGCGACTGCCTCCAACTGCCCAGTAGCATCCTTCACGAGCCTCCTCCACAGAGGCCGATCTTGACACCGCTGGTACCAGTCATCGGCAAGTCCACTCAGCTCCACGTCCTCCTGTACCACATCACTCCATCTCTTCTCTAGCCCGTGCCGCGCCCGCTTAGCCCCCTCAATCCGGCCAAACAAAAGCTGTTTCGGCATGCGGTGGCTGGGCATGCGGGCTACATGACCCAGCCATCGCAGCCTTGCCTGCCGGAGGAGCTCACCGATGGGACCCTGCCCAGATCTTTCAAGGATTTGTGAGCTCCTCACACAATCCAGTCTGGTTAAACCCAGGATGGATCGTAGGCAGGTCAGCCTAAATGTTTCTAACCGGCGAAGATGTTCCATTAGGGGGGTCCACGTTTCGCAAGCGTAGAGAAGGGAGGGAATGACCGTGGCCGAGAAGACAAACACACACACACAGGGTGACACACACACAGTGGGTGACACACACACACACAGTGGGTGACACACACACAGTGGGTGACACACACACACACAGTGGGTAACACACACACACACAGTGGGTGACACACACACACAGTGGGTGACACACACACACAGTGGGTGACACACACACATAGTGACACACACACAGTGGGTGACACACACACACACACACAGTGCGTGACACACACAGTGGGTGACACACACACAGTGGGTGACACACACACAGACAGTGGGTGACACACACACACACACAGTGGGTGACACACACACAGTGGGTGACACACACACACAGTGGGTGACACACACACACACAGTGGGTGACACACACACACACAGTGGGTGACACACACACAGTGGGTGACACACACACACAGGGTGACACACACACACACACACAGGGTGACACACACACACACACAGTGGGTGACACACACACACACACACAGTGGGTGACACACACACACAGTGGGTGACACACACACACACAGTGGGTGACACACACACACACACACAGTGGGTGAGACACACACACACAGTGGGTGACACACACACAGTGGGTGACACACACACACAGGGTGACAAACACACACACACAGGGTGACACACACACAGTGGGTGACACACACACACACAGTGGGTGACACACACACACAGTGGGTGACACACACACACACAGTGGGTGACACACACACACACACAGTGGGTGACACACACACACACAGTGGGTGACACACACACACACAGTGGGTGACGCACACACACAGTGGGTGACACACACACATAGTGACACACACACAGTGGGTGACACACACACAGTGGGTGACACACACACAGTGGGTGACACACACACACACAGTGGGTGACACACACACAGTGGGTGACACACACACACAGGGTGACACACACACACACACAGGGTGACACACACACAGTGGGTGACACACACACACAGGGTGACACACACACACACACAGGGTGACACACACACACACACAGTGGGTGACACACACACACACACAGTGGGTGACACACACACAGTGGGTGACACACACACAGACAGTGGGTGACACACACACAGTGGGTGACACACACACTCACCCCACACAACAACAACAACCGCCATTCGCCACTAAGTGGCGGTGACGTCACCACGACGCTTGTGCCAGGCTATGTGCACCCTGAGGCCACGTGAAGTGTCGAACGCCCGCTGGCAGGTCACGGGGCAGACCCAGGTGCCACGGGTCGACTGACTGAGATGACTGGCTGATGCACCACCTGTGCCCCCTACTGTGCCAACCTGCTGTGCTTCAGCCACCCGGTGCTCCGCTAATTGTTCTGAGCGTCGCTCCTCCGCCCTCCGTTGTTGTTGGAGGGCGACTACCTCCAACTGCCCAGTAGCGTCCTTCACGAGCCTCCTCCACACAGGCCGATCTTGACACCGCTGGTACCAGTCATCGGAAAGTCCACTCAGCTCCACGTCCTCCTGTACCACATCACTCCATCTCTTCTCTAGCCCGTGCCGCGCCCGCTTAGCCCCCTCAATCCGGCCGAACAAAAACTGTTTCGGCATGCGGTGGCTGGGCATACGGGCTACATGACCCAGCCATCGCAGCCATCTCCGCCGGAGGAGCTCACCGATGGGACCTTGCCCAGATCTTTCAAGGATTTGTGAGCTCCTCACACAATTCAGTCTGGTTAAACCCAGGATGGATCGTAGGCAGGCCAGCCTAAATGTTTCTAACCGGCGAAGATGTTCCATTAGGGGGGTCCACGTTTCGCAAGCGTAGAGAAGGGAGGGAATGACCGTTGCCGAGAAGACCTGAAGCTTAGTGCGGAGCGACAGACCAGGTAGCTTCCACACAGCGTTACGCAGCCGATGAAAAGATATTGCCGCTCGACTGATTCGGAGTGAGACCTCTGCTGTTAAACTGGAGCCGGTCATAAGCACACTGCCCAGGTATGCGAAACTCTCCACTCTCTCCACAAATGCCCCATCACCGATTGGGAGTTGTGGGGGTGGATTGTCCGATGGTACAAAATACCCAGGCAGGTGCTTAGTGTTGGTGGGGCTGATGGTAAGGCCCCACCTCTTAGTGGCACGCTCCAGTCTCAGCAGCAGCGTCTCCAACTCCTCCTCTGAATGAGCAGCTATTACCAAATCATCAGCATACATAACGTGGTTGAGCAATAGGGAGCCATCCCTTGACCGCACCCGGGCATCGATCAGCCTCCCATTATGTCTGTACCATATGGAGATTCCCCCGGTACAGCTATTGAAGGCTTCACGAACTACGTGGTCAAAATAGATGTTAAATAATGTGGGAGCCAAAGGACATCGCTGTCGCACCCCAAGGTGTACAGGGAATGGCTCTGACTCCCGGCCACGTAGTTTTACCCGGGCCCGCTCACCATCATGAAGGTCCTTAATGATCGTGAGCAGAGGGTCAGGTACTCCAAAAGCACGAAGAACAACCCAGAGCCCAGGCCTACTGATGGTATCATAGGCCTTGACCAGGTCAATAAAGCAGAGATGTAGGTCTTGTTGGAATTCCCTACACCTCTACTGTAGCAGACGGACAGAAAATATGGCATCTGTGCAGGACTGCCCTTTCCTGAAACCGCATTGGGGCTCTGCAAGCCTCTCCTCAGCGTGCCTGGCAAGGCAATGTTGAATAATCCTTGCCAGGACCTTTCCCGGCACACTGAGGAGTGAGATGCCCCTGTAGCTGTTACAGTCTGTGCGGTCCCACTTCTTAAAAAGGGGGACCACCAGGGCATCCTTCCAATCCTGCGGAACCCGTCCAGTGGTCCAGACTGTTGTTATGATGTCATATAGGGCAGTCTGTGCACAAACGCCACCCTCCCTCAGCATTTCGCTTGGGAGATCATCTCTGCCCGCTGCCTTTCCTGGTCTCAGACTCCGGATCGCCTTCAATACTTGCTCAGCAGATGGCACCTCAGCCAGCCACTCACAGGGGGTGACTTCTTCCAATATTTGAGGCACCGCAGCCTCAGCAGGGTCATCCTGACCGGCTCCAGTTTAACAGCAGAGGTCTCATTCCGAATCAGTCGAGCGGCAATATCTTTTCATCGGTTGCGTAACGCTGTGTGGAAGCTACCTGGTCTATCGCTCCGCACTAAGCTTCAGGTCTTCTCGGCCACGGTCATTCCCTCCCTTCTCTACGCTTGCGAAACGTGGACCCCCTTAATGGAACATCTTCGCCAGTTGGAAACATCTCGGCTGGCCTGCCTACGATCCATCCTGGGTTTAACCAGGCTGGATTGTGTGAGGAGCTCACAAATCCTTGAAAGATCTGGGCAAGGTCCCATCGGTGAGCTCCTCCGGCAGGCCAGGCTGCGTTGGCTGGGTCATGTAGCCCACATGCCCAGCCACCACATGCCTAAACAGCTTTTGGTCAGCCGGATCGAGGGGGCTAAACGGGCGCGGCACAGGCTAGAGAAGAGATGGAGTGACGTGGTACAAGAGGACGTGGAGCTGAGTGGACTTGCCGATGACTGGTACCAGCGGTGTCGAGATCGGCCTCTGTGGAGGAGGCTCGTGAAGGACGCTGCTGGGCAGTTGGAGGTAATCGCCCTCCAACAACAACGGAGGGCGGAGGAGCGACGCTCACAACAACGAGCGGAGCGCCGGGTGGCTAAAGCACAGCAGGTTGGCACAGTAGGGGGTACAGGTGGTGCATCAGCCAGTCATCTCAGTCATCTTAGTCAGTCGACCCATGAAACTTGGGTCTGCCCCGTGACCTCCTGCCCGCGGGCGTTCGACACTTCACGTGGTCTCAAGGTGCACATGGCCTGGCACAAGCGTCGTGGTGACGTCACCGCCACTTAGTGGCGAATGGCGGTTGTTGTTGTTGTATGAGTGTGTGTGTGTGTGCATGTGTGAGTGAGCCTCACCCGTCACGACGCTCTGCTTCGCTCCGGGCTTCGCGTGGACCCTGATGCTGACGCTGCCGTCCGCGTTCAGAGATACGGGGCCTGAGGGGCCCTGGGAGGCCGCAGCAGCTGCAGCGGCCGCAGCCTCAGCCGGGGGCTGTGACACCGATCAACACGCAACAGCAATACCCACCCATCCGTGAGTGGGTGGGTGAGTGAGTGGGTGGGTGAGTGGGTGAGTGGGTTGGTGAGTGAGTGGGTGGGTGAGTGAGTGGGTGTGTGAGTGAGTGAGAGAGTGGGTGGGTGAGTGGGTGGGTGGGTGGGTGAGTGGGTGGGTGAGTGGGTGAGTGAGTGAGTGGGTGGGTGGGTGAGTGAGTGGGTGGGTGAGTGAGTGAGTGGGTGAGTGGGTGGGTGAGTGGGTGTGTGGGTGACTGAGTGAGTGGGTGCGTGAGTGGGTGAGTGGGTGAGTGAGTGGGTGGGTGAGTGGGTGAGTGAGTGAGTGGGTGAGTGAGTGAGTGGGTGAGCGAGTGGGTGGGTGAGTGGGTGGGTGAGTGAATGGGTGGGTGAGTGAGTAAGTGGGTGAGTAAGTGAGTGAGTGGGTGAGTGGGTGGGTGGGTGAGTGAGTGGGTGGGTGAGTGAGTGGGTGAGTGGGTGGGTGGCTGAGTGGGTGGGTGCGTGGGTGGGTGAGTGAGTGGGTGGGTGAGTGAGTGGGTGTGTGAGTGAGTGAGAGAGTGGGTGGGTGAGTGGGTGGGTGGGTGGGTGAGTGGGTGGGTGAGTGGGTGAGTGAGTGGGTGGGTGAGTGAGTGGGTGGGTGAGTGAGTGGGTGAGTGGGTGGGTGAGTGAGTGGGTGAGTGGGTGGGTGAGTGGGTGTGTGGGTGACTGAGTGAGTGGGTGCGTGAGTGGGTGAGTGGGTGAGTGAGTGGGTGGGTGAGTGGGTGAATGAGTGAGTGGGTGAGTGAGTGGGTGAGCGAGTGGGTGGGTGAGTGGGTGGGTGGGTGAGTGAATGGGTGGGTGAGTGAGTGAGTGGGTGAGTAAGTGAGTGAGTGGGTGAGTGGGTGGGTGGGTGAGTGAGTGGGTGGGTGAGTGAGTGGGTGAGTGGGTGGGTGGCTGAGTGGCTGGGTGCGTGGGTGGGTGAGTGAGTGGTTGAGTGAGTGAGTGGTTGAGTGAGTGAGTGGGTGATGAGTAAACTACTATACACTACACTACTATATACACTACACTACTATACACTACACTAATTTACACTACACTACTATACACCACACTACTTTACACTACACTACTATACACTACACTATACACTACACCATACACTACACTATACACTACACTATACTACTATACACTGCTATACACTACACTACTATACACTACTTATACACTATACACTACTATAAATTACAGTATACAGTACACAATAGACTACACTATACACTACACTATACACTACAATTTACACTACACTATACACTACACTACTATACACTACACTATACACTACTATACACTGCACTTTACACTACACTATACACTACACTACTATACACTACACAATACCCTACACTACTATACAGTACACTATACACTACACTATACACTACACAATAGACTACACTACTATACAGTACACTATACACGACACTACACTATATACTACTATACACTACACTATACACGACACTACTATACACTACACACGACGCTATACACTACACGAAGGGAGTTTACCATCGCTCCGTGGGGGTTCGTGCGCTTGGCTCGGGGCATCTCGAGCCGGAATCGCGAGGGCCTCGCCAGCGAGGAGGAGGCCAGCAGCGAGCGCAGCAGCAGCATCGCTCACCACGTGGGAGGAGAACTCAGCTCCATCACTCACCAGTTGGTGAGTGACTGGGTGAGTGGGTGGGTGGGTGAGTGGGTGGGTGGGTGAATGGGTGGGTGGGTGGGTGAATGGGTGGGTGGGTGGCTGAGTGAGTGGCTGAGTGAATGGGTGGGTGAGTGAGTGGCTGAGTGAATGGGTGGGTGAGTGGGTGGGTGAGTCAATGAGCGGGTGGGTGCGTGGGTGGGTGAGTGAGTGGGTGAGTCAATGAGCGGGTGGGTGAGTGAGTGAGTGGCTGAGTGGCTGAGTGGGTCAGTGGCTGAGTGAGTGGCTGAGTGGGTGGGTGAGTGGCTGAGTGAGTGGGTGAGTGAGTGGGTAAGTCAATGAGCGGGTGGGTGAGTAGGTGAATGAATGAGCGGGTGAGTGAAACCAAGGCTCAGGAGAGGTAACTCGCTCTTAGGCAGCCCCTGCAGCCTAAGAGGCTACACGGTGGTGGTCGTCTTTGCCTTGCGTGGGAGCGGTGGGGCAGCGGTTAGCGCGCCGAGCTCTGGGCCACCAACAGTGACGGCACCGCGATTATCTGAACCGGTCCTCGACTCTCCCCTAGGTCGACTCGGCCTCAAATCGCCACTTAGGGAGACAAAGGCGGCCGGGCGCTGCGTGTGCCACAGTGCCGGCCTTAGAAGGCGCTGTTGCTGCTGGTCGCTACTCACACTGCACTTGCCCCTACAGCTGTGTAGAGGCTACCTGGGGGAGCTTTGTCTGTGTGTGTGTTATAGGCGCTGTTGCTGCTGGTCGCTACTCACACTGCACTTGCCCCTACAGCTGTGTAGAGGCTACCTGGGGGAGCTTTGTCTGTGTGTGTTATAGGCGCTGTTGCTGCTGGTCGCTACTCACACTGCACTTGCCCCTACAGCTGTGTAGAGGCTACCTGGGGGAGCTTTGTCTGTGTGTGTTATAGGCGCTGTTGCTGCTGGTCGCTACTCACACTGCACTTGCCCTACAGCTGTGTAGAGGCCACCTGGGGGAGCTTTGTCTGTGTGTTATAGGCGCTGTTGCTGCTGGTCGCTGCTCACACTGCACTTGCCCCTACAGCTGTGTAGAGGCTACCTGGGGGAGCTTTGTCTGTGTGTTATAGGCGCTGTTGCTGCTGGTCGCTGCTCACACTGCACTTGCCCCTACAGCTGTGTAGAGGCTACCTGGGGGAGCTTTGTCTGTGTGTGTGTTATAGGCGTTGTTGCTGCTGGTCGCTACTCACACTGCACTTGCCCCTACAGCTGTGTAGAGACTACCTGGGGGAGCTTTGTCTGTGTGTTATAGGCGCTGTTGCTGCTGGTCGCTACTCACACTGCACTTGCCCCTACAGCTGTGTAGAGACTACCTGGGGGAGCTTTGTCTGTGTGTGTTATAGGCGCTGTTGCTGCTGGTCGCTACTCACACTGCACTTGCCCCTACAGCTGTGTAGAGGCTACCTGGGGGAGCTTTGTCTGTGTGTGTTATAGGCGCTGTTGCTGCTGGTCGCTACTCACACTGCACTTGCCCCTACAGCTGTGTAGAGGCTACCTGGGGGAGCTTTGTCTGTGTGTTATAGGCGCTGTTGCTGCTGGTCGCTACTCACACTGCACTTGCCCCTACAGCTGTGTAGAGGCTACCTGGGGGAGCTTTGTCTGTGTGTTATAGGCGCTGTTGCTGCTGGTCGCTGCTCACACTGCACTTGCCCCTACAGCTGTGTAGAGACTACCTGGGGGAGCTTTGTCTGTGTGTGTTATAGGCGCTGTTGCTGCTGGTCGCTACTCACACTGCACTTGCCCCTACAGCTGTGTAGAGGCTACCTGGCGGAGCTTTGTCTGCGTCTCTCTGTGCGCGAGATATAGAATGAGGGCTCGGAAGTGAAACGGAAGTGACGCTTGGGGTGAAGCGGATGTGACGCTGGGGTGAAACGGAAGTGACGTTGAAGTGAAACGGAAGTGACTTTGGGTGAAACGGAAGTGACGCCGGGTTGAAACGGAAGTGACGCTCGAGTGAAACTGGCTGGGGGGTGAAACTGAAGTGTGAAATTTCGATGTAAAGCTTTCGTGACTGCAAGGATTCATCTTCTTTTGGTTCTTTCGGTAAAGTGCTGTGGCCGAAACGTCGTGAGAATTTTTATTGTAGTTATTTTACTTTGCTAATTTAATGTTTTATTCTCATTCCACGTGGCGACTTTACCGAAAGAACCAAAGAAGATGAAGTGTGAAATTTCGCGTTTTGAAGGTCTGGTCGGCTCGCCTCTTCGTGGCCAGCTCCATAAAATCCGGCCAGGCTACAGGAGGCTCAACGAGACTCAACGCTGAATCCCGATCGGAACGTTTATTCAGACCGCCGCAGGAGGAACCCCGATGAGCCTTGAAGCTCATTTATCACTGGTAGGAAACGTAGTGGACTGGAAGCCCAGCCGGGATTAATTCACAGGAGGCAGGGGATTAATTGCGTATGTCTGTGGATGTCTGTCCACGTGGGAGGGGTGGGGTGGGGAGGGGAGGGGCTGGTCACCCCGTGGTGCCCTTATATGGACTGGAAGCCCAGCCGGGATTAATTCACAGGAGGCAGGAAATTAATTGTGTATGTCTGTGGATGTCTGTCCACGTGGGAGTGGTGGGGCTGGGTGCAGAGGGGAGGGTAGGGAGGGGCTGGGTGGGGAGGGATGGGGCTGGGAGGGGCTGGGGCTGGTCACCCCGTGGTGCCCTTATAAAACTCAACGTTTCACCTACTCACGCCGGCTTGTGCCCGCCCTCACATTCGGGCATATTGTGCGGAATTCACCACGTGGTGGTGCCGCCGTTGACCCTGGCCATTGACCGAGCAATCCAACGTTCCTACCAGCTCCCTCCGCAGGAATGTGTTCGCAGATGTCCAGCTGCGTGCACGGGGGTCAGAACGGTGCAACAACAGTTTTATGCAAACACCAACGCCTTGTTCTCTGCCTTTTCATATCGTTCCCGTGCCCTTTCTCGAATGTTCCCTCGCTGTGTGTCCCCTAGCCGATCCCCGTCATTCCCCTCCGACGGATTCCATCCGACGCCGCTTTTGTTTCCCGCCTATTCTCCTTCAAACCCTCTCCTCCAACCACGTCAAGAGATCCCCGCCTTCCAACATACCTGCGGACGCCTCTTTTCCGCCAATCGGAGATCTTTGGTTTATCGTCGCAGAGCCGTACGGCTGCACATTGGCTTGGGGTTATTTTTCGGTCATTACACGAGGAACTAATTGGTTCACTCTCGAACTCACAACCGGTTTAGTGCTGCACTCGTGATGAATCGGTTCACTACAACACTACCGGTTAGCGCTGTACTAGTAACGAATTGGCTCACTACCCCAACACACAACCAGTTAGTGCTGTACTAGTAACGAATTGGTTCACTACTCCAACACACAACAACTGGTTAGTGCTGTACTAGTAACAAATTGGTTCACTACTCCAACACACAACAACTGGTTAGTGCTGTACTAGTAACAAATGGGTTCACTACCCCAACACACAACTAGTTAGTGTTGTACTAGTAACGAATTGGCTCACTACCCCAACACACAACCGGTTAGTGCTGTACTAGTAACGAATTGGTTCACTACCCCAACACACAACCGGTTAGTGCTGTACTAGTAGCGAATTGGTTCACTACCCCAACACACAACTGGTTACTGCTGTACTAGTAACGAATTGGATCAATACCCCAACACACAACCAGTTAGTGCTGTACTAGTAACGAATTGGTTCACTACCCGAACACAACTGGTTAATGCTGTACTAGTAACAAATTGGATCACTACCCCAACACGCAGCTGGTTAGTGCTGTACTAATAACGAATTGGATCACTACCCCAACACAACCGGTTAGTGCTGTACTAATAACGAATTGGATCACTACCCCAACACACAACCGGTTAGTGCTGTACTAGTAACGAATTGGATCACTACCCCAACACAACCGGTTAGTGCTGTACTAGTAACAAATTGGTTCACTACCCAACACACAACCGGTTAGTGCTGTACTAATAACGAATTGGATCACTACCCCAACACACAACCGGTTAGTGCTGTACTTGTAACGAATTGGTTCACCTCTCCAACACACAACTGGTTAGTACTGTACTAGTAACGAATTGGTTCACTACCCCAACACAACCGGTTAGTGCTGTACTAGTAACAAATTGGTTCACTACCCAACACACAACCGTTTAGTGCTGTACTAGTAACGAATTGGTTCACTATCCCAACACACAACCGGTTAGTGCTGTACTAGTGAGGAATTGGTTCACTACAACACACAACTGGCTAGCACTGCACTAGTGTAGGGACGCAGATCGGAGACAGTAATAATTGGAGGCACTTATTTTATTTAACAAGCACCATCGGGATAACACACAGCACCCTACGTGAGTGCACACTCATTATTATTAAGACCGTCTATCGTCGGCGGCACTACTTAGAACAGTCGGTAGGCCATCTGACTAGCGGCTCCCCGGGATGGTGAAGACGAAGACGGGGAAATGGTGACGACGACGATCTTGAATAACACAACGGGGATCCCACTTCCAGCAACAGCCCCGGGCTCCCCCTCAGGGCCCTCTCTTTTACTCCCAGCGAGGCTTTCGCTCCGCCTCGGCCACGCCCCCTTTCTGGATCCTACCGGTGGCTTCCCCATGGGCCACTTCTGTGACCTTTCCCCCCTAGATGTCACCCCCTCTCGTATATATCGTGACCTGCTGACGCGAGTGCTGCCGTACACCGCAGTTCCCCTTTTCCACAAGCACCCAGCGCTATACCACCACACTAGTAACTAATTGGTTCATTCTCGAACACACAACCGGTTTAGTGCTGTACCATTAACGAATTGGTTCACTACTCTAACACACAACCGGTTAGTGCTGTACTAGTAATGAATTGGTTCATTCTCGAACACACAACCGGTTAGTGCTGTACTAGTAACGAATTGGTTCACTACTCCAACACACAACCGGTTAGTGCTGTGCTAGTAACGAATTGGTTCATTCTCGAACACAACAGTTTAGTGCTATACTAGTAACGAATTGGTTCACTAGCCCAACACACAACCGGTTAGTGCTGTACTAGTAACAAATTGGTTCACTACACCAACATACAACTGGTTTAGTGCTGTACTAGTAACAAATTGGTTCACTACACCAACATACAACTGGTTTAGTGCTGTACTAGTAACGAATTGGTTCACTACTCCAGCACACAACCGGTTAGTGCTGTACTAGTAACGAATTGGTTCACCCTCGAACTCAACCATTTTAGTGTTGTACTAGTAACGAATTGGTTCACTATTCCAACACAATTGCTTTAGTGCTGTACTAGTAACGAATTGGTTCATTCTCGAACACAACCGGTTAGTGCTGTACTAGTAACGAATTAGTTCACTACAACACGCAACAACCGGTTAGTGCTGCACTAGTAACGAATCGGTTCACTACTCCAACACACAACCGGTTAGTGCTGAACTAGTCACTTATTGGCTACGTTTTGTTGACGTGACACAAACCCTTACTGATAGTCTGTGTCGGTGGTGGCGGGTTTACCGACAAACATCTATATTTACAAAATCTAACCCCATTTTTTTGCTCAGAAGTCAACATTAAAAAAGTACAATAATAAATAAACTCACTGAAATGAAGCCATGTACGGAGTTGTGGCGTTTGGTCAGCAATGCAACCTTATGATTGCACCAAAGACACGAGTGCGAGTATATTTTACAGTCCACTGTTTCGTTTACGTATGGAGTTTGCGGCCATCACTCTGCCCGGCCGCCTTTGTCACCTGAGTGGCGATGTTCACACACCGTACCAGGTACTCATTTGAGGCTATGGCGACCTCGGGGAGGCCCAGCACTGACTCAGATGATCGTCACCGGTGTTGGCCATGAGCGGGACTCGAACTCGGGTTTGTAGTGCGGCACAGCGCTAACTGCTACAGCGCTAAACCGCTACTGCACTACCGCCGCTCCCCTTGACATGCGTATGTAGTACACTACACTATACAATACACTATACACTACGCACTACACTATACACTACACTACACACTACACTACACACTACACTACTACACTATACACTACACTACTACACTATACACTACTACACTATACACTATACACTACACTATACACTACAATATACACTACACTGTACGCTACACTATACAATACACTATACACTGCACTATACACAACACTATACACTACACTATACACTACACTATACACTACACTACTACACTATACACTACACTACTACACTATACACTACACTATACACTACACTACTATACACTACACTATACACTACTATATACTACTATACACTACACTATACACTACTATACACTACTATACACTATACACTACACTACTATACACTCCACTATACACTACACTACTATACACTACACCACTATACACTACACTATACACTACTATACACTACACTATACACTACACTATACACTACACTACTACACTATACACTACACTACTACACTATACACTACACTATACACTACTATATACTACTATACACTACACTATACACTACTATACACTACACCACTATACACTACACTATACACTACTATACACTACACTATACACTACACTATACACTACACTACTACACTATACACTACACTACTACACTACACTATACACTACTATATACTACTATACACTACACTATACACTACTATACACTACTATACACTATACACTACTATACACTACACCACTATACACTACACTATACACTACTATACACTACACTATATACTACACTATACACTACTCTTGCAGCTTTAGCGCCTCGTCTCAAACAGCGTTAGACCAGAGGACAACACCAAAAGGCGACCAGCACAAAGACGATGAAACTATCAGGACATTGAGACCTCGTGGCAGAGTGGCTACATCATTGGACCTCCCTTGTCTAAATCACAATATAAGAAGTGGTTTTACCGTTTTTGGCAGTAATATAAGTAATATATATTTTTTACTTTTTTTTTAAAACATACTTTAATGAAATGTACCGTAAGAGTAATGGAAGAACTCCACAAGTGGCCCCGAAGCTTGCCATAACATCTTCTTGGTTTAGTAATAGGTTTTTACCCTTTTATCTGGCACAAAAACTGACACCTTTATACAAGGGATCATGTTTGCAATAACCACAACACAAGCAGTCAAAATCCAAACAAAAAGAAACAATTTAACACGTAGGCTTTCGCGACCAATATTATTCATAATAACGGTTTTTGGGTTAGATCGCGTTTATTTATAAATGTGTCGTAACCCTCCACCACCCGACACGGCCAATCAGCAAAAAAAGTGTCACGTTGACAAAAGACAAATAGTTCACTACTTTAGCCCACCGGTGTGTTGAAGAGTGAATCCACATTTACAGTTTTAGTACGACGTTTCGCTGGTAAATACATCCAGCATCATCGGGCAATTCCCCAGAATGGTAAAGCCCTCGCTTGCTCCCGGTTTTATATAGAGCAGCAGGGTGACGTCATCACTTAACTCATATCAGGTGCAGTGATTAGAGGCGGAGGGGGGGGGGTATTGTAATTATATAATCGATTAGTAATCAGTCATTGGTTATGATTAGTAATGAGTTGTAGATTAGTAATTCTTTAAATCAAAATGTAATGTGTATTATTTAATAATACGCTTCCAGGCCGCACTAAGCCGGTAGCTGTCAGAGCGATTAAAGTTATTCTTGTTCCTCTCAATTTCAATGGATTCTCTAATTAGTCTTTGCCAGTAATAATTAGTTTTACACACCACTGCAACATTGTCAAAATCAATTGAGTGTCCTTGTTGACAAGCATGTTCTGCCACTGCCGACAGTTGTGTTTGAGATAATTTAATATTTCTCTGATGTTCTTTTAGTCTTACACTGATGTTACGTCCCGTCTGCCCAATGTAGCAGCTGCCACATGAACAATTAATCCGATATACACCTTCTGTTGATAGTTTAGGTAATGCGTCTTTAGTGCAAGATACTAGTGTAAATCTTCTTGGTTCTTTCGGTAAAGTCACGAAAGAAGCAAGAAGATGAATCCCTGCAGTCACGAAAGCTTTCAATCGAAACTTGCCACAGCAGTTTACCGTGGACAATTAGACCCAAGCCGAAATAATGTTTTAAAATATATATTTTTTTATTTTTAATGATAGAATATAGTGGTGTCATCAGTTTGACATTAGTATGCCAAGTTTTCAGTCGATACCACATTGGGAAGTGGGTTAAAATTGAGTCGCAAGATTTCAGGATACAACGACAACAACAACAGAGTGAGTTAAATAAAAGCGTGTAAAAACAGGAGGTGTGTTAAGATGTTAAAAAACACCAAACAGAAACCTGTTGCAACGAATCATGTCCATGCGTTAGCCACACATACTATGTGGTGAACGTGCAAATTATAAAAAAAATATGCTCTCGTAATAACATTTGTCATCACGCTCACAGTGTATTATTTTCATCCGTTCTTTTTTTCCATTAAAAAAAAAACATAGTCCCGTATCAGTGTCACTCGTTTTGTTGTTGTTTGAAGAACCCTGTATACATATTCTGTCAATGTACCCGGCGCTGTCGACTGCGGGAAGTTCGCGCGTGCAATAGCATTCGCTTGAACAAACGAGGGCTCCGTTGCCCCGACCCACGCTTCGGGGCAACGGAGCGAGGGCCAAACCCCCGGTTCGGTGGGTTGCGGTCGGGGCAGTGAGTCGGCCAACCCGCATGGTTGGGGCCCAGCTGGCGGTGGGCCAATACATTAGCGGGCGCTGGCCGGGTAAAAGTGGGGGGTCGGGGTCTTTGCGTCGGGAGATGCTGCCAGCTCACCACGTGTTCACCCCCCCCTCCCCCATGCCCACCGGTATTGAAACGTGGTGGTACAGCCTGAACCCTTCCCTCCCTTCCCCATTCGTTACCACACAACCCCCCTTCCCCCCTCCCCCCTAGAAACGTGGTGGTACAGCCTGAACCCTTCCCCACTCACTTCGCTTCCCCATTCGTTACCACACAACCCCCCCTACCCCCTCTTACCACGTGGTGGCAGAGCCTGAACCCTTCCCCACTAACCTCGCTTCCCCATTCGTTACCCTACTCCCCCCCCCCCTAGAAACGTGGTGGCAGAGCCTGAACCCTTCCCCCACCCAATTCCTCCCCGGCACAAACCCCCCCAGCCCCAGCCCCCCTCCCCCGCCCCCAGCCCCCTCCACCTCCCCACCCCGCGGCTCCGTCAGGGCTCTTCGCTGGCCTCCGCGAGCGCCCTGCGCCTCAGGTGCTCCTCGAGGCAACGGACGACCACGGGGTCGACGGCCGAGTCGACCTTGTTGACGAACAGGTGACGCTGCCGCAGCACCCAGGCCAGGTCGCCCGCGGTGTTGATGCAGACGGCCCGCACGTGGGGGCCCCTGCAGCGAGGGTAGACGCCGCCCGCGAGGTTCTCGCCCTCGCGGTCGCCCCAGCGGACGAGGCGCGCGATCGAGACGACGGCGTCCACGTCGTGTTTGCGGTGGATGGGTCGCGAGCCCGGCACGCCGGGCATCCGCTGGAGCGTCGCCCACATGTGCTCGTCGGGGCTGTAGGTGTCCTTCTCCCACTCGGCGAGGGCCCGGGCCGCGGGGTCGCTGAGCACGTGCTCGACGAAGGCGCGCGTCACCACGATGTAGGCGCCGCCGGCGAACATCGGCGACGGGATGGGCGGCGGGGACTTCGAGACCTTCGTGATTTCCACGTTGCCGTTCACGACCTCGAAGTGGTTCTGCCAGCGCCACGTCTGGTACGCGATGGCCCGCGACTCGAGGCAGTTGCGGCCGTGCAGCCCGCGCAGCGCCCGCACGATCTCCAGGTTGGTCTTGATGGGGAAGTCGAGGCCGCAGAGGTTGATGAAGTACCGCCAGGGGCGCTCGGCGGCGCGCTCCGCCAGCTCGCGCATGCAGTTGAGGTCGGCCTGCACCCGCGACCACGAGGCGTAGACCACCGCCTCCAGCCGGCGCGCCACGAACACGTTGGGGAAGCAGGCGGCGAGGGAGCGCGCCGCCTGCTGGTAGGCCCGGGGCGACTTGGCGTCCACGTGGAGGCAGTAGAGGTTCTGCGGGGCGTAGATGGCGCGCAGCAGCCGCTCCAGCATGTCCACGCGGTGGTGGGCGACCACGGAGTAGGCGACGGGGAAGTCGGCCTCCTCGCGGCTCAGCGGCGAGGCCGCGTAGCCTCGAGCGCGCCTGAAGGCGGCGCAGTCGCGCGTCGCGTTCAGCAGGCCGCCCTCGTCCTGGGGCCTGTGCCTCGCCTTGTACGCCACGGTTATGCGCAGGAGCTCGGCGCGGTTCACCGCCTCCTCGTCGCCGCGCGCCACCGCCTCGCAGTCGACGGGGAAGAGGGGGTCGCCCTCGTCGAGCGGCGGGCGGCTCCGGTTGTCCCCCGCCGATCCCCGGACGCCCGCCGTCGGCGGGGATCGCGGCGGCCGCTCGCCCTTCAGGATGCGCGGGGCGACCGCGAGGAAGGAGACGGTGAGCCCGGTGCTGAGAAGGCACAGCAGCGCGCACCGCGCCAAAGTACCCTTCCTCATCTTCATGGTCTGGGGTGGGTGGGTGGGGAGTCGGGACACGTGCGGGCAACGGGGTACGGCGGCCGCTCGCCCAAACGCTCCGATGTGTTCACTACCGCGCCACGGCTCTCCCGTTCGGCTGAACGCTTTTTTTTTTGCACGACACAGAACGCGCGCTGTCATTAGGCGGTCCTCAACGTACTGGACGCCCTCGGTCACGAACACCCCACACATAGTAACACAACAACAACAACAACAACCACAACAACCACCCTTATTCGCCGCTAAGCGGCGGTGACATCACCACGGCGCTTATGCCAGGCTGTCTGCACGTTAAGGCCACGTGTCTAATGCCCACGGAACGGACCCAGGTCCCGTGGATCGAGTGACTGAGATGGCTGGCCAATGCAACGCCTGTGGCCCCCTTCTGTGCCAACGTTCTGTGTTTTAGCCACCCAGCGCTCCCCTCGTTGTTGTGAGTGTCGCTCCTCTGCCCTCTGTTGTTGCTGGAAAGCGACTGCCTCCATCTCCGCAGTAGCCTCCTTCACGAGCCTCTACCACAGAAGCCGATCTTGACACTACTGGTACCGGTCGTCAGCAAGTACACTCAGCTAAACATCCTCTTGTACCACATTCCATCCCATCTTGCACCGTTCAGTCCCCTCTGTCCGGCCGAACAAAAGCTGTTCAGGCATGCGGTGGCTGGGCATGCGGGCTACATGACCCAGCCCATGCAGCCTTGCCTGCTGGAGGAGCTCACTGATGGGACTTTGTCCAGATCTTTCCAGGATATGTGAGCTCACACTATCCAGCCGGGTTAGACCCAGGATGGATCGTCGACAAGCCAGCCTGAATATTTATAACCGGCGACGATGTTCCATTAGGTGGGTCCACATATTGCAAGCGCAGAGAAGCGAGGGCATGACCGTGGCTTTGAAGACCCGAAGCTTCGTGTTGAGTGACTGGTCAGGTAGCTTCCACACAGCGTTACATAGCTGCTGAAACGATGTTGCCACTCGACTGATTTGAAGTGAGACCTCTGCTGCCAAACTAGAGGTGGTCATAAGCACACGGCCCAGGTAGGGAAAACTCTCCATTCTCTCCAGAACTGCCCCATCACCAATGGGGAGTTGAGGGGGTGGAGTGTTTAATGGCATAAAATACCCAGGCAGATGCTTAGTTTTGGTGGGACTGATGGTAAGACCCCACGCCTCTAAGTGTCACACTCCAGGTTTAGCAGCAGCGCCTCCAACTCCTCCTCTGAGTGAGCAACAATCACCAGATCATCAGCATACATACTGTAACATGGTTGAACAATAGGGAGCCATTCCTCAACTGGATTTGGGCATCAATCAGCCTCCCATTGCATCTATACCAGATCGAGATTTCTCTGGTATAGCCATGGAAGGCTTCTCTAGAATTACGTGGTCGAAAAATGTGTTAAATAATGTAGGAGCCAGAGGACATCCCCTGTCGCACCCCAAGGTGGCAGTGTGGGTGGCATTTTGCCACCCACACTGCCACCGTGTGGCGTATTATTACGTGCCAGGGACTCTAATGAGACGATAGGTCAATAGTCCGAGTCCATAATTGGCAATAAGTAACGGCAAAGCGGTTATAAGCGACTCACAGAATTGTGCGCAGTTGCGTATCCAGTCCACGACTTCCCTGAAGGCATCAACACCTTCAGCGAGCGCGATGCCGATCACACAACACGGTTCGCAATTCGACCCTCGATCAATGGCTGCACCATCGCTGCACATGCGTCAAATAAAAAGCAAAGGACAAGTCCTTACTTAGTAACAACTTTTTACTTACTAGCAACGTCTTACTTACTAACAACTCCTTACTTACTAACAACTCCTTACTTGCTGACAACTCCTCACTAACAACTCCTTACTCACCAACAACTCCTTACTTACTAACAACTTTTTACTTACTAGCAACGCCTTACTTACTAACAACTCCTTACTTACTAACAACTCCTTACTTACTAACAACTCCTTACTTACTAGCAACGCCTTACTTACTAACAACTCCTTACTTACTAGCAACTCCTTACTTACTAACAACTCCTCACTAACAACTCCTTGCTTACTGACAACTCCTCACTAACAACTCCTTACTTACTAGCAACGCCTTACTTACTAACAACGCCTTACTTACTAGCAACGCCTTACTTACTAACAACTCCTTACTTACTAACAACTCCTTACTTACTAGCAACGCCTTACTTACTAACAACTCCTTACTTACTAACAACTCCTTACTTACTAGCAACGCCTTACTTACTAACAACTCCTTACTTAATAACAACTCCTTACTTATTGACAACTCCTCACTAACAACTCCTTACTTACTAGCAACGCCTTACTTACTAGCAACGCCTTACTAACAACTCCTTACTTACTAGCAACGCCTTACTTACTAACAACTCCTTACTTACTAGCAACGCCTTACTTACTAACAACTCCTTACTTACTAGCAACGCCTTACTAACAACTCCTTACTTACTAGCAACGCCTTACTTACTAACAACTCCTTACTTAGTAACAACTTTTTACTTACTAGCAACGTCTTACTTACTAGCAACGCCTTACTAACAACTCCTTACTTACTAGCAACGCCTTACTTACTAACAACTCCTTACTAACAACTCCTTACTTACTGACAACTCCTCACTAACAACTCCTTACTTACTAGCAACGCCTTACTTACTAGCAACGCCTTACTAACAACTCCTTACTTACTAGCAACGCCTTACTTACTAACAACTCCTTACTTACTAGCAACGCCTTACTTACTAACAACTCCTTACTTACTAGCAACGCCTTACTAACAACTCCTTACTTACTAGCAACGCCTTACTTACTAACAACTCCTTACTTAGTAACAACTTTTTACTTACTAGCAACGTCTTACTTACTAACAACTCCTTACTTACTAACAACTCCTTACTTGCTGACAACTCCTCACTAACAACTCCTTACTCACCAACAACTCCTTACTCACTAACAACTCCTTACTTACTAGCAACGCCTTACTTACTAACAACTCCTTACTTACCAACAACTCCTTACTTACTAGCAACGCCTTACTTACTAACAACTCCTTACTAACAACTCCTTACTTACTAACAACTCCTTACTTACTAACAACTCCTTACTTACTAGCAACGCCTTACTAACAACTCCTTACTTATTAGCAATGCCTTACTTACTAACAACTCCTTACTTACTAGCAACGCCTTACTTACTAACAACTCCTTACTTACTAACAACTCCTTACTTACTAGCAACGCCTTACTTACTAACAACTCCTTACTTACTAACAACTCCTTACTTACTAGCAACGCCTTACTTACTAACAACTCCTTACTTACTAACAACTCCTTACTTACTAGCAACGCCTTACTTACTAGCAACGCCTTACTTACTAACAACTCCTTACTTACTAGCAACGCCTTACTTACTAACAACTCCTTACTTACTAACAACTCCTTACTTACTAGCAACGCCTTACTTACTAACAACTCCTTACTTACTAACAACTCCTTACTTACTAACAACGCCTTACTTACTAACAACTCCTTACTTACCAACAACTCCTTACTTACTAGCAACGCCTTACTTACTAGCAACGCCTTACTAACAACTCCTTACTTACTAGCAACGCCTTACTTACTAACAACTCCTTACTTACTAACAACTCCTTACTTACTAACAACTCCTTACTTACTAACAACTCCTTACTTACTAGCAACGCCTTACTTACTAACAACTCCTTACTTACTAACAACTCCTTACTTACTAACAACTCTTTACTTACTAACAACTCTTTACTTATTCTTAGCTCTTTCGGTAAAGTCACGTTGAAGGGAAACAATAAAATAATAAAATATATAAAAAACAATAAAAATTCTCACGACGTTTCGACCATAACACAAACGGTTGTGTCATGGTCGAAACGACGTGAGAATTTTTATTGTTTAATATATATTTTATTATTTTATTGTTTTCCTTCAACGTGACTTTACCGAAAGAGCTAAGAATATGAATTACTGCAGTCACGAAAGCTTTAAATCAAAATTTAACTCTGTACTTGCTAACAACTCCTTACTTACTAACAACTCTTTACTTATTAACAACTTACTTGCTAACCTCTCTAATTTTTCATTGCTGGAGGAGTTGCCCCCCCCCCCCCACCTGAAAATCCTGGCTCCGCTATTGAACCTACGCCCGTCCTTGTGGAAGAAGTACGTGGTTGACACTTTTGTCATCTGGCCACATGGCAGACCGGCTCTAAACCAATTCCTCAACCACATCAATTCCATACACCCAGCCATCAAATTCACCATTGGGGGTAGAAAAGGATGGCATGCTACCTTTCGTGGATGTCCCAATCAAAAAGAGACCCGATGGCTCAATTAGCCATTCTGTCTACAGGAAAATAACCCACAGTGACGCCCAGCTAAAACCTGATTACCACCACCATCCATCCCAGAAGAGTTCCCTCATCAAAAGGCTACACCATAGAGCTAAATATATCTCCGACCATGAACACCTAACCAGTGAACTCAAACACGTACACCAAGCTCTCAAGGCGAATGGATATCAGACTACACAATCCGCAAAGCCATCACCCCAACCGTGAGGAAGGAGACTCCAAATATCGTCAGGATCGGGATCGAACCCACGACCTCCTGCACACCAGGCGAAGTAGTCAACATCTCCACCATGAGAAGAGAGAGACACAGACTCCAAATATATGGCCGCATGTAACGTCAGGGTCCGGTATCGAACCCACGACCTCCTGTGTACCAGGCGAGGTAGTCAACATCTCACAATCTACAGTGGCTACAGGCATCGTCGGGGTCCGGCATCGAACCCACGACCTCCTGCGTACCAGGCGAGGTAGTCAACATCTCACGAGCTACAGTAGCTACAGGCATCGTCAGAGTCCGGGATCGAACCCACGCCCTCCTGCGTACCAGGCGAGGTAGTCAACATCTCACGATCTACAGTGGC